AAATGGGTATTGAAATTCGTGTATATGCTACAGTTATACTCTACTGTTCAATTTACTGTTTGATGAACAATAATTCTCTGATCCTCCTTTTTGTATAAAGGAGTAGATGCCACCATTTGTACCAGTGCTAGAGATTGATACAGACCTCGATCTGGAAGGATGAGACTTCTGGTATTGATCCTGACCTCATGTCAGACTCCGACCATAGCCAGGACACAGAAGAGACTGAGCTGACCGAGGAGTTTAGCTCCAGCTGCTCCTCTTCTTCAAGGAAATAGAGTATAACTATTAGGACAATTTTGTAATATCAGTATATGGGTTTTCGTAGTCACTCTTTTGGTATATGTAGGACATTTTGGTAGAAAATATGTATATATATGTAAACCCATATACTCAGATATGTGTATGAACTAAAAAGTTTTGGTAGAAAATATGTATATATATGTAAACCCATATACTCAGATATGTGTATGAACTAAAAAGTTAAATAAAAAAATAAAATAATAATAATAATAATAATATATACTTTTGGTTTGTAAATACTGAATTGTGGTATTATGTTGGGCAATGACTGAGTTTCTAATTACTTAAATTGCATATATGTGACTGACTTAGAAAATTTTCTTGTATAATAGTTGACTGAAATATTTTATTATTTATATGAAGATATGACTTCAGGTAATGAGCAAACCCTTTCTAACGGAGATAAGGATCTAAATCAGACAATAGGTAAAATGATGAGATCTAGAATTACGTGTGCATCCACCTCAGGAAACTCAGTAGACAACAATGCATTGATGGATCTGCTGCAAGCGGTGACATATGTAGTCACCATGCAACAAGATCAAATTGATCGTAATTGGATGAATGGTCAAAATGAGGAGCACTCAAAATTAAGAAGTGGCATTGGAGAATTCAAGAAACTATCTCCACCCAGTTTTAAGGGAACAACTGATCCTATGATTGCTAAGCATTGGATCACAGAAATGGAGACGGTCTTCACCTACATGAGATGCCTTGAAGAGGAGAAGGTTGACTATGCAGTATACATGTTAAAAGACCATGCTTACGGGTGGTGGCACATGCAGGTCAGGACCTTGGGTGAGAATGCATATAAGATATCATGGGAGGAATTTTTAAAAAAAAGTATGAAAAGTATTTTCCTTCAACTGTTCGCAAACAAAAAGAACAAGAGTTTTGAAAATTGAAGCAATGTGATAAGACAGTAGCTGAATATGAAGAAGAGTTTACTTATTTAGAAAAAATTGCCACTCACTTGTTGGGTAAGGAGGAGGATAGAGCACGTCGCTTCGAAGAAGGGTTTTGATCGGACATTCGGAAGGCGATCAGTGCATTTGAACTCCCTACATATGAAGAAGTATTAAAGAAGGCCTTGTTAATTAAGAAAAATAAAATTAATACAAAACTAAAGAATGAGACAAGCAGCTCCTACCCAAAGAAGCGGTTCTGGCAAGATAATCGCGATGGAAAAAATAAAAATTAGAGAAACAAAAAGCAGAATTTTGGACGCAGAGAGTAGCAATTTCCTAACCAGAAAACTTTGAGATGTGATGTTTGTCATAAACCTGAGCATGAAACGAAAAACTGTTAGAGAAATACTAGAGCTTGTTTGAGATGTGGTCAGAAGGATCATAAAATAGTAAATTGCCCCCTACAGCAACCATCTAGGAATACTTTCCAGACTGGCCAGTCTAGTGGTGGGAACAAGCATCCTCAAGCCAAGGCCCGAGTTTATTCTCTGACTGAGAACGAAGCCGAAGCAAACAAAGATGTGGTGACAGGTACACTAACTTTTATGTCAGTTCATGCTCGAGTACTATTTGATTCTAGTGCATCACATTCCTTTATTGCTGCACAGTTTGTTAAGAGAAACAAATTACCTTATGATACCCTACAATAAAAATTACTTGTTAGTACACCTAGGGGTAGCATATTAGTATCAAATCAAGGTTGTAGGGGTAAAATTTATATTCTCGACAATGAACTCAATGATGCTAGAAATGCATGATTTCGATATCATATTAGGGATGGATTGGTTATCCTTAAATCATGCTTCTATTTTATGTCGAAAAAAGAAAGTAGTATTCAAATTTCCTAGCCAACCCAAATTTTGTTTTGAGGGCGGTAAGTCTCAAGAACCCTTAAAAATCATCTCAGCCCTTAAAGCACATCGAGTGTTGAGGAGTTGATGTATGGGTTATTTGGCTTCAGTTGAGATGGTTGATGATGGAAAACCAAGCTTGGAAGAAATACCAATCAGATAGGGAGATTGAATTTTTAATTGACCTAGTACCTGGTACGAATCCCATTTCTAAATCTCCTTATCGAATGACATTTGCTGAATTGAGAGAACTCAAGATACAACTGCAAGAACTTTTAGATAAAGACTTCATTCGGCCGAGTGTGTCACCCTGGGTGCACCAGTGTTATTTGTGAAGAAGAAAGATGGAAGTATGAGATTGTGTATTGACTTTCGGGAGTTGAATAAAGTAACTATTCGAAACAAGTATCCATTACCGAGAATTGATGATCTATTTGATCAGCTACAAGGAGCTCAAGTATTTTCCAAAATTGATCTCCGTTCTGGTTACTATCAATTAAAAATCAAGCCAGAAGATGTGCTAAAAACTGCATTTCGAACCCGCTATGGTCATTATGAATTTTTAGTTTTACCATTCGGGCTCACAAATGCACCTGTAGCATTTATGGATTTTATGAACAAAGTATTTAAACCTTTCTTGGATCGGTTTGTTGTGGTATTTATTGACGATATTATGATATATTCAAAGAATAATAAAGAACATGAAGAACACTTGAGACAGGTGTTGCACACATTAAAGAGAGAACAACTGTATGCGAAACTTAAAAAATATAAATTCTGGTTGGAGAAGGTAGCATTTCTTGGGCATGTCATCTCTAAGGATGGGATTTCTGTGGACCCTGAAAAAGTAAAAGCTATTGTTAAATGGGACATACTAACTACTGTAACGGAGATCTGTAGTTTTCTTGGTATGACTGGCTACTATAGAAAATTTGTGAAAGGATTCTCCCGTATTGCTTCACATCTAACTCGTCTTACTCAGAAGGGAGTTAAATTTATTTGGTCAAAAGAATATGAGAAAAGTTTTCAAGAGTTAAAAAGTCGATTAGTATCTGCTCCAATACTTGTATTACCCAATGGAGACACATGCTTTGTTATCTATAGTGATGACACTAGAAGATGATTGGGATGTGTACTTATGCAAAATAGAAAAGTTATAGCATATGCTTCAAGGCAATTAAAGCCTTATGAACAAAACTACCCCACTCATGATATTGAGTTAGCGATAGTAGTGTTTGCTCTCAAGATTTGAAGATATTATTTATATGGAGTACGTTGTGAAATATATACTAACCATAAGAGTTTGAAATATATATTTATCCAAAAGGAGTTGAATTTATGATAAAGAAGATGGTTGGAACTTCTGAAAGATTATGATATGACCATCAATTATCACCCTGGCAAGACAAATGTTGTTGCTGATGCCTTAAGCCGCAAGAATTCATACAATCTAGCTTGTCTAATTACTTCTCAAAGAAAAATATTAGAGGACTTGTATCATACTGGAATTAAAATTAGAGTCCACCAAATTAGAGTTAAATTAGCAAATATGATAATACAACATTCTTTGCTAGATGAAATTAAAGCAAACCAGCAGAATGATCCTCAACTATTAAGGATAAAGAAAGATGTGGAAGAAGGTACTCCAAGAGAATTTAAGATACATAAAAATGGATCATTGAGGTTTGGAACTAGAGTTCGTGTGCCTAACATACTAGAGATAAAGAAAAAAATTCTAAAGGAGGCACATCACTCTCTGTATACTATGCATCCTGGATCAACAAAAATGTATAAAGAACTGAAAGAAATATATTGGTGGAATAATATGAAGAAGGAAATTACCACATATATTGCAGAATGTTTCACTTGCCAGCAAGTAAAGGTTGAGCACCAAAGACTAGCTAGATTAGTCCATAACTTGGATATACCAATGTGGAAATGGGAAAAGATCACCATGGATTTATTGGCCTTCTTGTTTTGATGGTGTTTAACAAACAATTTACCACTAATGTTGTTTGTCTAGTATTTGTATTTTCTTATTTATTATAGACAAACAACGTAGTTGGAGGATGGATGGAATAGTGCTTCAACGACGATATCAAATGGAGGTTGGCGAAATTGTGGAGTGAAGCAACATACAATTCAAAGTTAAAGATCAAGTTCAAGCTTCATCCGCATGTGTACCAAGTTGAGCTACAATGAAGATCAAGATCTAGCTTGGGTAATTTAGTTTAGGATTTATATTATGTGTGTTAAGTACTCTAAGCTCAATTATCTATACACACACATTTATTGGTTTCTTCGTATATATATAGTTATATATATATACATAATTTTTGGTTTCTATGCATATATATGGTTTCATATATATACATACATATGTTTTGGGTTTTCATGTTTATAAATATGAAATCACATATTTCATATTTACTATTGTGTTTTTGAAAACATTGCATAGAATATGCAATTTTATGAAAATTCTGTATTCTTAGTTTTTGGACTTAACAATAATCATATACATATTTTATTAAGTTTATATAATTATTGTGCAAAGTCTCAAAACATGGTTTAGCCTAAATGTCAAAATTCACATGTTTACATTTTTGTGTTTTGGACTATTTTGCTAAATGATGATTTTTCACAAATGAGAAATGCAATTTGGAAAATTCTTTTTGTAACATGCTCATTTACATGTTTATATACATTTCCCAAATTTTCATTATTTTTGGACTTTATTTGTTATTTTTGACAATTTTTCAAAGTCTCAAAAATCAGCTCTAAAACCTGTTTTTCTGTAATATCAGTTTTCGGTCGACCGCACCGGTCGACCGCTCAAATGTTCATTTGTTTCTGGGTAGCAGAGAGTTTGTCGGTCGACCGTACCGGTCGACCGAGAGCTCGATATTTCCTTCGGTCGACCGCACCGGTCGACCGACGAAGTTCCTGCTCGATTCTCAGTTTGGGATCTGCATCGCGGTCGACCGCGAATTTGTTTGGTCGACCGCCGCTCTGTCAGTTCTGTTTCCAACGGCTATTTTTGTTACCGTTGCTGGGGTTGTTTTTGTCATTTTGTTTGGGGTTTTTGACTGAGGTTCTTGGAGGCTATAAATACCCTATTGATCTCAGTTCTCAACAACCCAAGAGAATGTTTTAACAAGTTTTAAACGAGTTTGAGTTTGTTTAGTTTGTTTTTGGGGTTTGCTGTTACAAAGAGAAGTTTGCATCATCTGTTGAGGAATTCATCTTCAATATCCTTTCATCCTCTCTTTGTGTTTATAGAGAAGTTTCCTTAACTCTATTTCCTAGCATTTCTACTATTGTATTTCATATCAATCTTATTGCTAGTTCTTATTAAGTTAAGTTTTTTATTGAATCTCATTGTTACACACACCCACATGAGCTTATTATATTTGCATACATAGTATATTAGGGTTGTGAGAGATTGTAATAAATGAGTTGTGCTTAATTGAGTTCTCATCTATTGTAGAGAACAAATTTATATTTGTTACATTGTGAGATTGTAAGGTTTTCGGTGAGCTAGAAAATCGAGTGTGTTGTGAAGTTTTCGGTGAACTAGAAAACCGATTGTGAGGAGTGACGTTGTTCGGTGAGCGTTGAAAACCGACACTGTGAGGTGTAAACGTTATTCGGGTGAACGTAGAAAACCCGGTTGTGATAGTAGATTTCTCCCCGGGAGTGGGGAGTACAGACGTAGGACGGAAGGTCCGTACTCCGTGATCATATCTTGTGTTTGAGTGTGCTTTGGCGTTTATTTATACTTGTGTTTATATTTCTTGTCGCCATTGTCATTAGCTCATTATTTATATGATCCACTATCTAGTTCATATTGTTTACCCTTGTGTTAGTTTTATATCATTGCACATATATTGTCTATATCTCTTTGTTAGGATATATCTTATTGTTTATATATCCTTGCATATATTTCTATCATATAGGATATATCTCATTGTTCATATTGCTTATCCTAGCTTATATTCTTGTTGTATTTCATACTTACTAGGATAACTTATTAATTAATTTTAATTGGCATTTAATAGGATTAGATTAGCATAATACCCTAATCACCCCCCTCTAGGGTCTAACAAGATTTCGTTACTGTCCTTTCAAAATCTTTGAGAAAGAATGATGCAATATGTGTAATTGTGGACCGATTGACAAAGTCGGCATACTTTTTACCTATAAATATGAAATTCTCATTAGAAAAACTGACTAAAATATACATTAATGAGATAGTGAGATTGCATAGTGTACCAATATCAATAGTTTCTGACCGAGATCCTCGGTTCACATCAGAATACTGGAAAAGTGTGCATAGAGCTCTGCAGACTAAACTAAATTTCAGCTTAGCTTACCATCCACAGACAGATGGCCAATCAGAACGGACAATTCAAAAACTAAAAGATATGTTGAGATATTATGTTCTTAAAATAAAAGGTTCATGGGAAGATTATTTGCCTTTGGCCGAGTTTGCATACAATAATAGATACCAAGCTAGCATTCAAATGGCACCGTATGAACTTCTTTATGGAAGAAAGTGTAGATCTCATGTTCATTAGGATGATGTTGGAGAGAGAGAAATTCTTGGACCAGAATTGGTACAACAAGCAATTGATAAAATTCAATTAGTTCGAGAATGTCTTCACACGGTACAAAGTCGTCAAAAGAGTTATGCTGACCAAAGAAGATGAGAATTAGAATTTCAGGTGGGCGATCATGTTTTCTTGAAGGTTTCGCCTACCCGAGGAGTGAAAAGATTTGGAATCCAAGGGAAGTTAAGCCCGAGATTTATTGGTCCTTTTGAAATTCTGGAACGCGTTGGTCCAGTAGTGTACAGATTAGTCTTACCACCATCCCTGTCTGGAGTACATGATATATTTCACATATTGACGCTTCGGAAGTTCATCCGAGATCCAAATGAGATCATTAAGTTGTCTCCAGTAGAGCTCAAGCCAGATTTGACCTATGAGGAAAGACCAGAACATATTGTGGATTATAAAGAACAAGTACTTAGACACCGAATAATCAAATATATGAAAGTTCAGTTGAAGAATCACTCTGAAAGAGAAGCTACTTGGGAGACGGAAGATTCTATGCGAGAGAGATACCCAGAGCTCTTTCGAGATATAGGTATGTTAAGTTTCAAGGACGAAATTTTTTATTAGGAGGGAAGAGTGTAGTAGCCTAAATAATTAGTGACTTAAAACTTAATTAATGGAGAATTTTTTTAATTACAGATTATAGAACTAATTAAGGATTTTATTGGGATTTCACCCCTAACTCTTGATTATCTGCCACGTTAGTGTTTAGTGGCTAAAAAATCTATTCGACAAATTGGTCGGCACCTCCTTAATGGAGGAATAAAACAGAAATTAAAGGAAACCACAGAAAGGAAAAAAACAAGGAATTTTTTTTGGATAATATCCTCTCATCCTCAACCAAACCCTCTGAGAACTAGATAAAGACCGTGAAGAGAGAAAAGAAGAAGAAAAAAAAGAAACGAAGAAGAACAGAGAAGGAAGATGAGCAGGTTTAGACAAATAAGGGGAGGAAAATTTATCAAAACCCCTAAGTTATTTTAACTTTGCCTATAAAACCCTCTTGGGTGGAGGATAATTCATTCTAAGTCCCTAAAAGCCACAAGGATTGTAAATAAACACTAACAGAAAAATCTAGGATCATATATGAACAGAATAATTATATATAGACCCTATTAATTACTCTATTTGCAAACAAGTCCAATTTGAAGAATAAAAGATAACCATGGGCTTGATTAATTCCCTATAACCCCCTATCTTATCATAAATTATTAGGAAGTCCAGAAGCTAGTATATGAGAGTTATAAAACTTTGATAAATTGCTAAAGTTAACAATAAGCTCATATGTACTATAGAATTTAATTATTATTGATTATATCTGAATTTATTAGGCTCTAGATTATGAATTGATTTACCTATAATATATATATTTGTCTTGAGTTAATAATTAGTCTTATATCTTATATTATAGGATCTGGTTGATATTCAGGGGAGTAATATTTTAGGGAAATCGTGTCCACTAGATGTGAGTTCATTTCTCACTAGTATTTTATAATATGAAATTGCATGAGTATTATATTTGATTTATCTTGTGGAGTTCATTTCTCACTAGTATTTTATAATATGAAATTGCATGAGTATTATATTTGATTTATCTTGTGATCGAAAAATAAATAGTATTTTATAATATGAAATTGCATGAGTATTATATTTGATTTATCTTGTGATCGAAAAATAAATAATATATCATTTTCATGCATATAAAGATTTGACCTATTTTTGCTGTGGTCTATCCTATAATACGATGTTAGCCTCGTACAATATATGAAAAGCGAATTTGATTTTTATGTAGATTATGAAAAATGAATTTGGCTCTCATGCAATTTTTAAATAATTATGGGCATTGTTTTATCTGAAAGTTTTGATGAAGTATTTGGAATGTAACTCAACAGTTTAACGGATTCAAAGATTTTCCATGACTTAGTATCGAATAAAAGAAAAAGTACAAATCCGTGAACTATTTTAACTGAAATGAGGAGCTTTACCTTGTTAACTTCATTTGAAAATATTTGTAAATTCTGATTTGCAAAGTATTACTCATTTGACATATGATCTCAATATTTTCAAACCCTCAAATAATCCACTATGGATTGTTTCTGCCTGACATATGGTGAATGCACCTTTATTTGGTCCCTCTGTATTGGCCTTGGCCCTTCTGTATTGGTCCTTCTGAAATTTGTTCTGGCCCTTCTGTATTGGCCCTTCTGAAATTTGTTCTGGCCCCTCTATATTTGACCAGTAACCTATGACAGTGTTAGGTGCATTCGATTCCCGGAATTTATCTATTATATGATGCGATTTACGCATTCCCTTGCTACTGAGCTATAATTCGTAGCCTAAGTATGACCTATGGGGTGACTTTTATTTTAATAAATAACTCATCGAGAACTAAGATTTTGATAATTGACTGTGAAATTGAGAAACCAATAATTCTCTGGTTTTGTACAAATTAGTAGTTCTTTTCTTTCTTAATGCTTACCTTGATTCAAAAAGGGTTTGATTCCATGAAACGTCACTATATATTCAGTTGCACATAAGAAAAAAATACAATTGTTGCAATCTTTCTTGAAGTCGACAATATTATGATATTTGTAATCGTATTTTGCTATCTTTGAACTTCTGATGCAAAATTTATAATTTATTATTTCTGAGACTTATTCTTATTACTATTTTGTTAGTTATCTAGAAACTCTAGTGGGAAATGTTCTCACTGAGCGTTAGCTCATCCCGTTGTTTCTAATTTTTTTTCAGATCCGGCGTAGCTTCATACTAGCCGAACTTTTGGTTTGAGCTTTTGGCTAAGAGGCGTTATATGGAGAGCCTCTTCTTTTTGATGTTACCTTCAGCAAAATTTGTTTTGTTTTGTAAAAATGTTTATAACGGTGAGCATTGTGGGCTGTAAGTACCGATTATATATATAGTTGCTCTGACTTCTATCATGAGCAGGCTTATGAATATTTTGTGATAACCTATGTGATATGAAGTATCAGACTTGATCCGTGCATAAGAATTGTCTTGTGCACGGGTCGCTGCTGTCGCGCACCCCGCATATTATGAATTTCCGCTACAGTTTTGGGGCGTGACACCGCAAATCGGCCCCACCGAGCTTAAGCCGGGCTAGGCCGGGCCCAGGTACAGCTAGGTCAGAATGGGTTTGTCCTACTTCTCTAACCCCGGGTCTGGGTCTAGACCCAGCCCGGCCCACGGCCCACATGGGTCTAGGTTGGGTCCGACCCCTTCGACCCAACGTGGTTGGATCATGAGTCATCCCACGACCTGCAATTTTTTCCTTTTCAGTTTTTTCTTTTCTATCTTCACTTGTCTTAATATTTATTAAATTATATCTTTGTTTGAAAATAAATGTCATCTCATTGTTGTAGTAGAAGCATTAATCGTTAATACATTTTAAAAGGGCTTACTAACAAAATATTTATTCATGAGCATTGAACTTTTAATTATAACTTGTAAAAAGTTGTATAAAATGTCATATGATGATGGAAACATAACATATAGTTGTATATCTTACACCCGTAAAACCATCTATGTGAAATAGCTATTGCATGAACATTTTTCTCTTTAAACATAAACATGTCATATGATTACTCATTGGATGCCACTAACTGTGAACTTTTTTCATATTTACTCTACTAAATTATAATATCTTTATTACTTTATTTGAAAATTTAAAATATTATCATGTAAGGCATAAAAATGTAACTCAAAATTTGTGTTGAGATTATTTGTCTCTATTTTCTCGCTAAATCATATTTCCTACATTGATACGTACGACTAAGTTTACAAACATTGAGTCTTTACAACAAAACTAACATTTAAGAGAAAGGTTTGTTCAGATGAAAAATTAATCTTACTTTCACATGTCTTTGTATGTGCAAGTATGTCAATTATTGTGAAAAAGATTCAATTTCCTATTTCTAAAAAAAAAGACACGAGTTACATCTCATTTCACAAAATAAACTTAAATATGTATGAATGATGAGGTTCATCGACTTTGTCACTAGGCTATCTTTTGCTTGTCATATTAAGTAAAATGGGTTACCTATCAATTTTTCCTAAAATATTATTCATTCAAACACTAAAAAAGTATTGCATCTTGCAAGAAACATACAAAATGAGGGCGATTATGGAAAATTTCCCATACAAAACTTTGAAGAAGTTTCCCAAATAACCTAAGTAAAAAGAGTAGCCGTTAACTGCTCAACCCGACAAAGCGAAGCACTAGGTTTTTATTTTTTTATTTTAAAGATGAGTTAATTTTGTGTTAGGCTATTTTTTTTTTTAAAATATCATGGGTCGAGACTGGCCGACTTGGGTGTGCGCCGAGCCTACTTCTTTAACCTTAGGTTTGGGACTATGTCCAAGCCAAGCTCGTGACCCGAGTATATCATGAGCCAGATCGGGCCTGGCTCACTGTAAGCTGGGCAGGATCACGTCCAACCGTATTCCTAGTCATACCAGTAGTGTAGGGCAATTTTGCTACAAGTAGTCAAATTTCATCCTCGTCGACAGGTCATACTTAGAGCATCCCCAACAGCTTCCCCAAAAATTTCTCCAAAATGGAGAAACAAAAGTCATATTCTCCAAATTATTTTTGCTCCAACTCCAACAGCTTCCTCATTTTGAAAAATCGCATTTATTATAATAATAAAGCTATCCCCAAAAAATTTGGAGAATGCTGCAGATTTGGGGAAGGCTCCCTATTTTTTCTCCTCCTTCCCTATTTTGGGGAATGAGATGGGGAATCTGTTGGACAAAAAAAAAGCTCTATATTCTCCAAATTTGAGTATTTCAAGAAGATAGGGAAGCTGTTGGAGATGCTCTTAGAGGACGACCATACATTGCGTTTGCCCGATATTATATTATATTATAATTCTAGTGAACATCCTAAAAAAAAGGGCGGCTGTTGACCTCAGTAACTCGATCGATCTCCCTCTCTATACCTCTCAAATATCCGAAGGCCGCCG